GTTCTGGGTCGTTAACGTGGTGGTCGGTTCTGGGTCAGGGGTTGTTAAGGTGGTGGTCGGTTCTGGGTCGTTAACGAGGTGGTCGGTTCTGGGTCGTTAACGCGGTTGTCGGTTCTGGGTCATTAACGCGGTGGTCGGTTCTGGGTCAGGGGTCGTTAATGTGGTGGTCGGTTCTGGGTCATTAACGTGGTGCTCGGTTCTGGGTCGTTAACGTGGGGGTCGGTTCTGGGTCGTTAACGTGGTGGTCGGTTCTGGGTCAGGGGTCGTTAACGTGGTGGTCGGTTCTGGGTCGTTAACGCGGTGGTCGGTTCTGGGTCATTAACGTGGTGCTCGGTTCTGGGTCGTTAATGTGGTGCTCGGTTCTGGGTCAGGGGTCATTAACCGGTTCTGTCTCTCCTTCCTCCTCCTGCAGCTCTTCCACACTCATAAGGTAACTCTATCTCCTCCATTCCACCTTAAATGCCTCGGTGTGTTTGTTTTACCTCCTGTCGGTGGCGGCGGCGGCCGGGCGGAGTCAGGGTGTGGAGCTCCGCCCGCCTGCTGCGCCCAGGAGGCTGAAACAAAGGCAGCGGTGTCAGCTGACTGTGCAGTAACGTGTGGTCTCCTCCACAGAAGTATTATGGTCTGGACAATAAGTGGGGCCACATTGAGCAGTGGATGGTAGGAAGTGGGCTGCTGTGGACACATGACAACCTCTGGACGGCCAGAGCAGAGAGACGGGCAGCAGCTGGGCTCATAGTGGAGACACAACATTAACTATTCTATGCTATGCTATGCTACACTTTACCATACTATACCATGCTTTACCATACCATATGGTACACTATACTATATTATACCATACCATACTATACTATACTATACTATACTATACTATACTATACTATACTATTCATAATTCTATTCTATCTTATCAATATGCAGTAAAAACTACATGTGAAGCCGTAAACTGCTGATTTGGTGTTCAGTCTGAACTCCCACTACTCCCACTACTCCCACTACTCCCAGTTAGAGGGCTGTGAGCCTCAGCAGGAGTTCTGAGGTTTTCATGTGTCGGCAGCTTGTTGTTGTTGTTGTTGTTTGTTCTGCACGCGCTCAGACGGGATTAGCTGCCTGTTTAATCCGTCTGATAGATTAGAGTCACCGTCCTCCCAGTTACAGTTACATTCCTAGTTACAGTTAGAGTGATAGTTACAGTCCCCCTGCATGCCTGCTGCTGCTGCCCCGGTGTTTATTTATGGATTCATGTTGTTCCAGTTTTTTTTTATTTTCAGTTGAATTAAATGATTTTTTAAATTTGTACAAATATGTGTGTAGTTTGTATTTTCTTACCAATAGTTCATTATTATTATTATTATTA